CACAGGTGAGGAGGATGTGCTGCTCCCTGGGGCTCAGGCGTCTTCAGTTAGTAGCGGCCCTGGAGAAAGTGAATTGTCCAAAATCTTGGATGAAGTTCGGTACATTGCCAAACGCTTCCGGGACCAAGACGAGGAGGAGACTATGTGTAATGAGTGGAAGTTTGCAGCATCTGTCATTGACCGTCTTTGTCTCATGGCCTTTTCTTTGTTCACCATACTCTGCACCATTGGTATCTTAATGTCTGCCCCTAATTTTGTAGAGGCCATATCCAAAGATTTCTTTACCTGAAGCCTTCGCATACCCGCTATTGTAGTTATTCTCAGAGCCTCTTAATTGTAGCAATATATTTATTTTATAGATTAACTCAAATTTGACTTGAAGGAATAGTTCATGCAAAAAGGAAAATTCACTTTTATTGTATGGAAAAGAGCAACATGAACATTCTGCTGAGGCTCTTCTTTAGTATTTCACACAAGAAATGAATTATAAAGACATGAGGGGAAGTAAATGATTTATGAAATGATGAGCTATTCCTTAATGACTGGTCTCAACATATCTGTTTTTGAGCGTTTGTGTATTAGTGTCTGTATAAAATGCTGTATCAATTGAAGTGTGCACTAGAGACAGGACTGTAGCCTCATGTGCACTTTATAAAAGCTTATAATTTATTGTTCGTTCTTGTAAATTTAACCATTTGCTTTACACAAGCAACATGCATCTATGAATTTCTGTATTGTTATATCTGCCATTATGCTTCGTCTATACTTATCAATGCTGTTGTACGTCTTTCGTTGTACGTATTGTAACTGCTGGAGAACCAGTCGGTGTATGTGATGATATGAAGGTGGAGATTTCTAACCTTTTTTCCCCAAAATATTGTACAGTATAATGACAAATAAATGTATTTTTGTAGGTTGATTATGATTTGTCAAACTTATTAAATATGTTAAAACCAGCAAAAGATTGTGACTGAAAATCACTACATCAACCACTCAGTGTAACTGGTAATAAAATTGTGTAATATGAGACAGTGCAAAAGCAGCACATGTTTGGGTCACAAATATAGAGCTATATACTATATTACCATATGACTTTATAAATCGTTAGATGTTATTTTTGTGGCATTTCTCTCTCTTTTTTTCTGGTTCCCTCAATTATAATCTGGAAAAACTGTTCCCTTTTTAGGTCTCATTTAAATATTTATGCAGTATAAATGGGTTCTTTCACTCTAAAAAATGATTCAGCAGCATATTTTACATAAACTGGTGAATTCAGTAAAAAAAAAAAACATGATGTTAGATATATATTCACATTTATTAATTTGGCAGACACTTTTACCCAAATCAACTTGCAAATTTACATCAGCAGTTTGTCATAAGTTTAAAGTTAAAGTTAGATTAATACACAAGATAGAGATGACGTGAAATACAGAAAAGAGAATGAGAACAAGATTTTTAAGGAGTTCTCATAATAAGTACCTAACTGAATGGTTATGGGTTATAGTTAAATTATTGTAGAAGCGATTTCATGAAGGTTGGGATGGACTTAATTTGATCAAATATTTAATGTTCTGGCTAATGATTTCTGCCTTGACATACTCAGTATTTCTAAAGCTTAGAACAAAATTTTCTTTAATTCCTTAAAAAAAGATGAATTATATGTAAATTCTTTTTATGTCTACAATTTTCAGTTACAGTAAATGCTTTGACCTTTGAGTAAAACAAAGTACCAATGCTTTAACCTGACTTTCTCAACCTTAATATTTACAGATCACGGAGTTTCACTGATGATTCCTCAATAACCCTGAACCCAGGATAGAGAGGCTGAGTGAATGTTGTCTTTTCTCTGTGAATGAGGGTCATTTGTTAGAGATTATAGGACAGAGTTCCTGCACTGTGATCCACATACACTCCTATACAGGAGCTGGACTCTAGAGGCAGTTTTATCTCTCTGTTATTGTGCAAGAATGAACAACTCCAGGGATTACAGGACAGTTTCCAGGGCTGACCATTGCATCCAAGCAAACATGCATTACCTGCTCCTTTCCTGGTAATGCTCGTAATATGCTACTGATATACCCACAGTCCTGTTCCACTCAACTTCCCAGTAACAGCGTCCACACACTTTCTCTCTACACAACACCTGCTCCCAATAATCAAATCTGTCTGGATGATCAGGACACTTCTGGAATATGTTCACGTGAGTAGCCAATCTGTTCCTCTCAGACAGACGAAGGTTTTTATTCACCGTGTTTGGATCCAGAGTAAAGTTGCTGCGATCTAATGGAGGTAGGCCTACAAAAAAAAGAAATGCCTTGGGGAAAAGATTGTACACATCATACATACACTGATATTGATGTCATCAGTATAAATGTGTGTATTGTTTTCTGCAGTCGCTGTAAAGTAAATCAAAATAATGAAACTTTTAAAAGTGAAAAGTGTGACGGAAACAAACTATTGGGACATTCTTCATTTGCAGTGGCAAGTGGTGTCCCTACTTGCAGCAGTAAATATAAACTTTAAATACAAAAAAATTATAAAATGTTTGCATATTTGTATTTTGTAAATTTATTTAAAAAGTGTATACATATTTATTTATTTATTTTTTTGCATTTGAGAGATTTCATGTGTATCAAAATCTGCATGTTCCCGCCATACATCACAATGTAATGTAATTGCAAGATGTAATTGCAAGAATATATAATCAAAAATAATGTGGTTGAACAATTTATTTAACATACAATTTCATTAAATTGTTGTTTAAAAAAAGTTATGTTGATAACTTACAAATTTTACATATTTTAATAAAAAATTTCATTAACATTTCCAAACGGTCCCGTGATCTTGAAGCTCAGACCCCATTTTAGAAAAGTCAGGATTTGAGCAAATTTTTGCTAAAATCAATTAAAAACAAAAATGTGATTAAGCTTCCATTTTACTGAATGTAGCACATTAAACACAATTTAAATGCATAGAAATTAGTTGTATGGTTTTTACAAATTCCA